GGGCACCCGCGAAGACAGCAGTAGCGGATCTCTTGAGAGCGTCCGCGACGGAGGCTCAGCCTGAGACGAACGTAGACAAACGTGCGGTAGTAGCGGATCCCCCAAAGGAGGCCACTAGTAAAGCTTCTAACGAAGCCGAGTCGTCACCTCGTACCCGGGTGCCGAGGGCGACTGCGGTAGGGATGACGGCAACTTCCATCCCCCAGCAACAGCCGCGTACGGGATCCGGGTCGAGCCCTCCGGCCGTCGGTCCCGCTTCGACGGAGAGGAGACTCGACGCGCAAGGAACGCCTCCGACCAGCCAGTTCGTACACATTCAGAACGTGGCGCAAAAGAAAGCCGAGGAGAGCTCATCCGAAATCGTCATCCAGGTAAGAGGAAACCGGAGCGAATAAGGCGAAAGGTTGAGCTGAGCAAACTCGTGTCTTGACGTGACGGTGGTGACGACCGAATGATGTCGAGTGTTTTTGTTTCCCTTCATTTTTCGTTGCGTTTCCTTGGAGTGCTGCTGCAAAGCGTGTGGTTCTTCTTCAATCGAGGTTGAGTTCCTCGGTGTCTTCCTTCCTTTAAGCAAACAAACCGAGCTCATCTAATTTTACAAAGTATTTCCTTTGGAAATGCTTAAAAATGGGACCTTCAGCACTTCCTGTGGAACTATGGCCTAGAATTTTTTCATGGTTTCTACTAACGTGACCTCGGAGTATAAAATTAGCACAAAAGTGAAGTAGAAGTTCAGCAAGTAAGGTCCAGATTCAGAAGAAAACTTGTTGACTTCACTTAGAACCAGCCTTCCCACTTCTGAAACTGTTGATTAATTTATTCCGATAAAATTTTGATTCTTTTATTCTGATAAAATTTTATTATGAGATTATTGATTATTTTATTCTGATAAAATGACTCGATTTAGAGTCTAAATGCTTTTTAGTCGTTGCCTGACCGCTAAATGATATTTTCATTGATTCTGCTGTCGTAAATATGATGGATTTTTTTAAAAATGATGTAATACATGGTCAGATGTCAACTGAGGAAGTATTTAAGTCATCTGAGGCCTCGTAGCGATAGAATATTAATCTTTGTCGACATGTTCACATGAAGAAGAGCGTGGATTGAAAGAATTTCATTGTGTCATACTTGTTTTACAGGGAAAATGCTTCTGATGTGGGGAATAATTTGAGTAGAGCTTCAAATTTTTCGTGTAAAATCGCCATTACTACTAACTTTGATTTTGTAGAAACAGTCATTTTTTTGTACTCGCCTGAAATAGCCAAAAGTTGATTTCTGTTTTCCTGCAAATCTGTACATTTTGAGAATCTGTATCGTTTACTCTGGTGGCGTGCCGGGAGTTGTTTCACAACTGAAACACCGTCCGGAATTTCACTCGTATAAAGCTGTAGATTTAGTTTAAAGATGCAGATTGGGTTTAAAGTTGTAGTTTTCAAGTGGTACATTTAGTTTCTAGAGCCTGTGAAAGTCCAAGCAGAGAGAGAGAGAGCTTGGATCCGTTGGGTTTCCTCAGCCTCTGCTGCTCTGAGCAGAGTTTGTGTTGTGTACAAAAAACAGCCCCAACGAAACAGAGCTAGTCCTTACAGCTGAACGTCTTGTCTGAAGAAAGATATGAAAAAAATAAGGCTGAAGAAAGTGTTGTTTGTACTTTGCAACTGAGGGCTGCAGCTGCCTGACAGGACGTTGTGGAGAGGTTGGGGCTGGTCTCTTCTCACGGGGAAGGAGCGACAGAACCAGAGGGAAGGGCTGCAAACTGCACCAGGGCAGGGTCACACTGGGCAGCAGGAAAATGTTTTCCCAGCAAGAGCCGTCAGAGCTTGGCACAGGCTGCCCAGGGAGGGGGTTGAGTCCCCACCCCTGGAGGGGTTTGAAGGTCGTTGACATGTGGGGTTGGGGGAGGTGGTTTAGGGGTGAGCTCTGTAGAGCAGGGTCAGTGGTTGGCTTCTGATCCCAGGGGGCTTTTCCAAGCTGAACGATTCTATACTTTTATGTGTTAAAACCCTGATCTTCTGTTTTTTTCAGGCTATCCCTCACTACTCCATCCCTTGTCACTCCAGCTCCAACGTGGTGGTGGAACCCAGCGGACTCCTGGAGCTCAACAACTTCACCAGCCAGCGCCTCGACGACGACGAGACGGCGATGGAGCACGATGTGGACAGTAGCACCGAGGACGGCACCGAGCCCAGCCCCTCTCGAAGTTCTGCTGAACAGTCCTGAGGAATTGGGGACGCCAGAGTGCACTTTAAAATAAAAAATAAGTCATCTTGGGGTTTGGAGTATCTGAGATGCCCTCGTCTTGCGACGTCTTAGAGCACTTTGCCCTATTCGAGTCGGTCGTGGGACCTTCGAAGCGTCAGCGCGTTTTTTAACGAGACAATATTGAAAAAGCTGCATCTTAGAAATGGTTTCCACAAAGAAGAAAAACAAGAAGAAGAAAACAAGATGTAGTTCCTGAGATTTAGTGGAATGT